CGCTAAATTAAGGTATACCAATAAATTAAAACATTTAATACTAGGTGTTTCATTTTTGCTGTTACATTTTGATAACAGTTGTAACTTTGTTAACTTAAATGGAACACCCTATATTTTTTCTACTTTATCGTATGCAGATTGATACTTCCTTTCGAACCATATAAGCATTGTTAGGGTTGCCGTTGCTACTTTTAGAGATATTTGCAATTTTCTATTTTTTGGAAACTTTTTCTCGTATCAGACCTGTTATCAAATTGGCCATGACCAGAAACACTCCAAAACAATTAAAATAATTTGAGATTTGTCAAGTTAGTTGTTAAATTATTGTTATGTCTGTAATAGTTTTTGCTGAAAATTTAAATAAAAATGCCTGGTTATCGTTTAAATTATACTTATGAAGATTATTTTAATTTGTTTATTATTTATGGAAAAAAACAGCAGATTCTCTACATGTTCTTGAAATTACTTTGTCACATTTTCCATAATAACAAACAAATTAAAATAATAAGTATAATTTAAACTATCAGGCATTTTTATTTAAATTTTCGGCAAAACTATTCAGCCACGACAATAATTTGACAACTAACTTGACAAATATCATGTTATTTCAATTGTTTTTGGAGTGTTTCGGGTCTTGACCAATTTGACAACAGATCTGATACGAGAAAACTGCTCAAAAAATAGAAAATTGCAAATATCTCTAAAAGTAGTAACGGCAACAATACTTACATGACTTGAAAGGAAATTTCAATCTGCATAAGACAGGGTAAAAAATATAGGGTGTTCCATTTATGTTAACAAAGTTATAGGTGATTAAAGTTATCAAAATGTAATAGCAAAAATGAAACATCTAGTATTAAATGTCTTAATTTGTTGGTATACCATAATTTAGAATTACCTATGCCCTTTACAGATACCAAAAGTTCGCTTGATATCAAGCTCCTGAAAAGAGTTACTATCATCTCCGCGGAACCTTGCATCTGTCAAATTTTTACTTTAAAATTAATATCTCAAAATATATGACTCCTAGGTATAGGGAATATTCAATAAAGTAACCCTCAAATTTCACGTAGAATACGAAAATGCAATAATATATAGGGTGTCCCATTTAAAATAACGAAGTTACGGAAACGGTATAACCGGAAGTGCTGGAGAGTTCTAGATATTTTAGTTGTGTTCGCCCCCCCCCCCAGGGACATTGCTATGTTGCTAAATTTTCAAATTTTTCGGAGTAGTAGGTACTTTCCCAGATATCGATCTACGCAATTCCCGGTGGGACACCTTGTGTAGTTCATGCTCTATCTAGTATGGAGTTATACTAGCAAATAACTACTATCTAAAATAAAAATTAAAAATGATATGCCTAAACGATATATTACTGTCCATGAGCATGATATCTTATGCATACCTGAATTTTTAGTATCAAAGAATATTGTTTGACCTTATTCGTTAGGATTTTAAAAAAGTTCTCAATTTATTTGAATTAGCTGAATACGTTTAAAATAAATTAAAAGTACGGGAGATAATTATAAAATATATTATTTAAAAAATAAGTTGAACTATCTCTACAAAGTTATTCTTGATCAATATAAACTTTATTCCATGCCAGTGACATTTGTTTGCATTTGTTGAATATACCAGATCGCAAATAGAGATTATTCCGAAAGCAATAAATTAAATTAGCATACTCTGACTAACTAAAATACAATCATTGTGTTAGGCCACACAGAGCGCCATGCTAACTATATTTGCTATCTTCATTATAACTCTCTTCATTATACAAGTTAAAAACGATTGATGTTACGACTATGCTAGTTGTGTTTGCTTTGGTCGCTATACATATAAACAATAATCACTACTGTTTTAAATGAACATATCCGCAATATGCGTACGATATAGTTGTAGGTAGATACGTTGAAGCAGATTTGCTTTCAACTATGTTTTTTATACCATTGCTAGTAACGAATGTTGTCCATTTTCAGCAAATACGCCATTTTTATGTTAATTTAGTAATTTTTAGAGGGGAATTTATTTCTTTCATTAGTTAAAATTACTTCTCTGTATTTGCCTTTTCTTTCAATTTTGTATTTGCACTGGTTGTCGGAAATTGTAGTAATTTTAAAGCAACTACTGATGATGTGTACATATTTTGTATTGAGGCAGTTTTTTATATAGGTGAATTGACTATATTTTGCTCCAACGGATACAACCTACTGTTGCTGGTTTTAGCTAGTGATATACGAGTAATACCTCAAAATAAAATAAGATGTTTATATAAATAGAGGCCGTAGAATACTTTGTTTTCAAGATACAGGGTATTGATATTTAAAAAACATTATACATTTAAATATTTTTTAAACGTAGGACAATAACTTAACAAATCTGGCTAAAAATTTGCTGCATTGATATACCTACAAATCGGTCAGGTATTAGTAGAGATGCTGGGAGATACGTCAAAGAATCTCACAAAAATTTCGCAGAATATTTCATGAATTGAATAAGTGTATTTAATTCTGGTTAGTCTTTCTAAGAAGTTACATATTTCAATAACGAGTCAGTTTTGAGTAACTACTTCCTGAAATTTAAAATAAAAATGCAATAAACCGACAATAACTATTATAATAAAATTGCAGAAGTTTTTGTTACAAGTATAAATAATGTCCGCAAATTTCACCGACAATGTTCGACTGCATATTCGCGATAAATATACATACGATAAATACGATCTATAAAAAAAAGATAAATAAAAAATTTTTGGTTTACCGATCGCGTTAAAATTTGGAACATTCATTTGGACTATTATGGCGTATTATTTCTTAAAACTTTAGTCAAATCGATATACTGGGTAATAGTTTTCACCGGTTACCTTTCCCTTTTAGCGGTCAAAACTTTTACAGTGGCCGTATTTTTTTAAAGCAACATTGAAAAGGTCGTTTTATTTTAAAAAAATATTGTCTCTTGAGAAAATCGCCTACAGAAAGCCATTCTTGAGGAAAATTGCATTATTTGCAGGTCTGTACGTTTCGGTTTGCGCCCTTTTCAATGTTGCTGCCCGTTTTAAAAAATACGACTAGTTCAAAAGTTTTGACCGCTAAAAGGGAGAGGTAACCGAAGAAAACTATCACCGAGTATATCGATTTGACTCAGGATTTAAGAAGTAATATGCCATAATAGTCCAAATAAATGTGCCAAATTTTAACGCGATCGGTAAAAGGGTTATGAGTTAAGATAAGACTATTTAGCCTAACTTACCTATATACAAAAGTGCACGCCTACTGAGATATAGCCTTCTAAATATAGAACACATATCCTATTTTTTTCAAATAATTTGGAGGAACCTGTGGTCAAGCGTTGTCCATCCATTTTAGGGACACCCTGTATATCTTCCAAACTAGTACAATTTGGTGCATATGATGACTTATATATACAGGGACTCGCGAACAAATGCGACCCATATTTCATAGCCATCTTCAAAAAGAAATATGTTTTTGTCTCTTGAAAACAGATAATTTTTTTTTCTCTAACATAAAAAAATTAACGATATTTCAAATAATTGTTGCTCTTAAAAAATTTTGATAAAATATATGGTTTCGAGTTAAATTATAAAGCTTGTCATCATATGACGACTACTGCCAAGAATACCACATTAGCTGTAACATCTATCTCCACAGGCAAGTAAATACTTCAGAAAATTAAAAATGATTATTTAACACCTCAAACAGGTTGTAGAATTTAAAAAATAAAAAAAAGAAAAAATTTGTAAAAAGGAACAGAATATTTATTGTATGATAGCACATATTTAGCTTGCTTTGATGAGTTGTCCTTGGTAATAATGCATTTTTTTTATTTCACTCTATAACCACGTATTTTAGCAAATATTTTCAAGAACAACAGTTTTATCAATTACCATCACTCCTGCATACTGGGAGATTTATATTTACAGTTTCCAAGAGAAAGAAAAAAAAATCAACATATTTATACAAAAATGGGTATGAAAAAGTGAACTCCAAGTAACCCATTTCATTAATAATTTTATTAATAGCCAAAGATGTGTACCAGATTTGGTAGTGATACTTCGACTAGTTTAGAAAAACCATTGTTAACAGGTCATCTTCGAGCCGTTATGTCTTATAAAGGGGTCGAAATTGACCTTTAACCTTTTTTTTATTAATTTTTATCAAGGAACACGTGTATAATCATCACAGCTTGTTATAGTCTTTCCGATTTCAATTGAAGACTAAAGAGCTAGGCAGTATTTATCAGGTTCAGTCGCACACGGCAACTCGGCATATATTTGAAAAATTTGTTTCTATATTTATTTAGCTATACCCATATGCAAGTCTGGTCGAACTAAACGTGCAGGTGGTAGAAATGTATAACACCAGTTGAAGAATGCGCGCGCGGGCAAACGCCGCACATACACAGCCGCACTGGGCGATTGGCCCATAAATTTCAGTTGTTGACAAATTGCCTAGCAGTGCAGTGCAGCAATGCGGAATTATTTTATTGTTGATTATTTTTATATAATAGCTTTTCCAACCTAAACTAATAACCTTCCCTCATCCTTTCCTGGCAAAAATATGTACATACTTCATACAAAATGTAAATGTTTTTTTTTGATATGCCATAACCAAAATTTACCATCAATATAATAAAATTGTTTGAGGATATAAATAATTAAAATATGTTATGTTATTAATATTAAATTTATTCCACTAAACCAATGGTTTCTTTTAAATTAAAAAAACTACTCTTCATATACTTTTTTTTCGAAGAAAATGAGACATTTTTTTTATTGGAAGTTCTGGAATTAAATGCATTGTACCTGTACATTTTCTAAAATATCCATTGATCGAAATTTTGAGGTTCGTAGAGACGTTATCAGATAACATAAAATATGGAAACTATTAAATAAATAAAATAAAAGTGGATAAAAGTATTTAAGAACCATACCATTACCAGAATCATATTATTTTATAATATCGTTCTCTCTTTTTCAGAGTTACTCTGGTCCTCTCCCGAATTATTAAGACACAGTAGTTTAAGGAAAAAAGGAACTCAGCCCGGCGATGTGTACTCATTCGGGATAATACTGCAGGAGGTTGTCGTTAGGGGAGAACCTTTCTGTATGCTGGCACTCACACCGGAAGGTTAGTTATCAACAGTCTCTCACGTAACCGCTCTAATATTCCTTTGCTCGCGTCTTTATATATTTTTAATTGAAGAGAAAGTTTTTTAAGGGCGAATCGAATTCCCTCTTGTTCGTAGTGAATTAGTCCAAAGTGAAAAGGCTGGAATGACGTGAATGAATTTGTAGGATAAGTATTTAACAAACACATGAGATTAATTTATTTGCAACTTCTTTAAAAATATTAGAGGATGATATTGTTATTATTATCATTATTAGAAATTGTAATATTAATGTATTGTTTTGGTCACCAACTGTTTTACTGTTTATAAGCTAACAGTTATTTACAGAACGTCGTTCAATTATTATCTGAATTACATCTAGTAGATAATAAATGCCCTCTTTTATTGCTTATTATCCTCATGTTTATAACAATCAAACATTGTACATATTGATGTAAAACACTTTTTAATCCAGGCTGTATCGTCTCTCCCGCTAGGAACATGATTCTCATTCGATTTTTCTTCATAATCTTACTAAAAAAATGACCCTTGAAAGAGACGTTACTAATAGTCAAAAATTGTTCAAACATTTTTTTTTTAAACAAATTCGTAATTTTTGATTTCTTCGCTCGAAATATTTTTTAGGCTTTTTGGGTATCCTG